TGTCCGCTCCCTACTTTCCTCATGATAAATACTGTCCTAGACACTCACACACACATTTTTTACTGATCTAACGAGGTAGTAACTGGTGCCTTACTTATGTTTAAATATTTATTATGTTTTTACTAAAGAGAAATATATTCAGTGATCCTGTTTTGTATGCAGAGCATTCGTCTGAAGCACCTAATAATCTATTTGCTTCTGAAGCAACAAAAGCAAAAGAATTATTTCAGTTACTTAAAAGGTATCAGTAATGAGCTTGCCTAGGGAGGTTTCTAATGAACTTACCGACAATGCAAGACTGAGGATTGATGTTGCATAGTTGAAACTGTGAACTACCTTGTAGGAAGTTGTACTATAAATTTTCACATGCCTGTACAGAAAAGTAATTATTAAAAATTGTTAGGAATACCTTACTGAATACAATTTAGAAGAATTTCATCTTTCTAAAGGTTTGTTAGATCAATTTAATGAAAAGGATCTTCTAAACACTTTTTTCAGACTATGACTAAACTTACTACTCATTATTGTCTCAGCGACAACAGGAAGATTCTAGTAAGACACAAAGTAAAGAAAGAAATATCCTCACTCCCTAAAAGACAGCAAGAGGGAAAGAATAGGAAAAAAAAAAAAAAAAAGGAGGAGGATGTAGTGACCATCTGAATTTAGCAACACTTGTTTGGAAACATTTGGGCAGTGTGGAAGGGGGCTGTTTCTTTTGTTTGTTTTGAATGGAAAAGTTGGCTACAACTTCTTGAAACAAAAAAAAAATCTTGTTGCTGTTTACTGATTTAGCTGAAGGTGGGAAATAACCAACAGAAAACTGTAGTCAGCAAAAGGAGGTGAGTGGAGGAGCTGGGGGACATCCTGTAATGAGGTCATTTTTGACTCATGCACCTTGATGCATCCCTTCCACCTGAATCAGTTTGGATGACATGGAGCAACTGAGCAGATACCTATAAAAAAAACTTATTTTTGTGTAATACTAATACCAGTTTTATCTAACAGTGATTGCATTAAAGTAAGAAGAGTCACACACCTGCAATCCCCACTGATTTTCAGACTAATAAGAGTGAAAGGTAAGGGTACATTGCAACATACACCCAGATCGAAGACATGTTTCCAAATAAATTATATCCAGATAAATCACAACCGTAACAGTTAAAAACATCTCTGCTCAAATCATTTGTACATCTTCATCCTGATGTTTTACCTTTAAAGACAACAAAAGAAATCCTAAGGAATTTAAGTCCTATGAAGTCATAAAATTTACTAACCTGTCCAGAGATCCTGACAGCAACCTTTGCCCAGAGCTGTTCAAGCATAAACAAGTAACAGTTTTATGGTGATTTTTAAGTGAAACTAGCAATTGTCCACCTTTTAGCACATCCCAAACCTTGACATATCGACCTCCTATGAGAAAGAAGTACACAGAACAGTGTTTGATGCATATATAATTCTGCTTTGCTGAAGAAGTTTTCAGAGGGAGAGCACATACTGCCTCTCCCTTTCAACACTGAGCTTTCCATTCCTACTCATCACCCGTTAAAAACAAGGGATAAGGCAGATAGATGACAAGTTTGCTCCCTTTTTCAGGAAGCTGCAAACACTGCTGAATGCCTCAATATTCTCCTTACCAAAAAAAAAAAAAAAAAGACTCTGTACTGAGTCAGGACTTCTGATGCAATGGAAAGAGGAGGCTAAAAAGCCTTGCTAAGCATCATCATTACAAGAAGGATACAGTCCTGTCTTATGTATTCTTAAAATCCTTATTTAGACAATAAAAAACTGGAGTTTTTGATCCACTATAAGAATGAACAAATTAGAGACCAAAAAACCTCTACCTCTGCTCTCCAGATCTACAGACTCCCCAAAAGGCCTCAAAGAAATCCACCTGATAAGTCACCATTTCATTGCCAAATAAAAACCTCACACAGGAGCTAAGCAGCTGAAATGTTTCTCCAGTTAAGGTCACATGTAGATACCTGCAGACACCAGAAGGCCCCCGGAGGGGAAGAGCAGCACGCTCTCCACAGGCTGCCCGTGCTCTATCGTCATGACGCTCTTCTTTGTTCGCGCATCAAACACTTTCACAGTGTGGTCATATGAACCTGTAATCAATCAACACCAAAATTACAAAACTGAAATTACAAAACTGAAACTATTTCAAAATCTAAAATAGGCCAATGCCACCACCTAAACGAGCTCCTCACAAATAGAGACAGTTTTAAACTATACACTTAAAACCTAATGTTTTGCCTGAGTTGATTTATAGTCTTCAGACAGTATACAGCTTCCATTTCTAGGCCTATCAACATGTCAGGCATCAAATATAATTGAAATCTTAGCTTTATTTTCCTTAGATACTCAAGTGTAAACATAACAGAGACCAGAAAATCTGATAAAACCTGTATCTCTAGCAGTAGTCGCTCTACAGGCATCAGTGTTATGCCATTCACACGATTTAAAATAAATCAAAGAGAAACCATTTTTTTCCTGTTGGATCCAAAAGATACATTTAAAAAAATGAAATAAAACACTAACCTGTTACAAAGACATCTGCATTCAGTTTACTGGCGCAACCACATCGCACATAATCCAAATGTTCGTTATATGACACAATTTCAGCAGCACTTGGAATATCCCACAAATTTGATGAATAATCATCACCGCCAGAAAATATTCTGTATTTATCGGACAGGAAGCCCACTACATGAACAGCTCTAGAAAACAAAACCCACAACATTCAAAAGTTAAAATACATACTTGTTTCCAGTGCACTTATTTTTGACTATAGAATTTATTAACGAAAAATATTTCATCTATTTTAGAAGTTAAAATACTTTAGATTTTATGTTTTCAGACAGAAAAAAAAAAAAAAAAAAAAAAAGCTCATGCTGCTCATGCTGACAGGTGCAGATCTAAGCACCAACAAGATCTGCCTTAAGGATTTTATGGGGATACTCGATTATCTTTTTGAAAGCTGAAAATTGTTTATTTCTTACTGAAGTATTTTACTCTAAATTTATAGTTACTACATTTTAAGACTGATTTGGAAACTCCTCTTGTCCTTTAAAAAAAAAATCACTATTCACACCTACATTACCAATGTAACAACCCAACAAAGATTAACTTTAACAAAAAACATTGATACCCTAAAATTTATGTACAGCTAACCCAAGGGCTAAGACATAAAACAATGCTCCAGCACACACTTTCAGAAGTGAGCTGCATTTTCAAGGCACTCTTTGGGGTTCTGCCTGTGCACTTTTGAGCATGAAGGGAGTTTTGCTGTTGCTGTAGACAGATTAAACACATATAGTTTTCCACAACACAGCAATCTATGCAATCTCAATATTCCTACTGTGTTCTCTCTGTAAAACCACTATGTCAAACATTCTTCTCCTCCCTGGAACATAAGGATCCTTCACTTCCATCCCCTGGTCCACCCAACTCCCTGGGAAAAAAGAATTTTTGCTCTATCTGGGTTTTTTTTTCCCACAACTTTAAATCCATTTTTTAGAACTCTGTTTCTCCTAGCATCAAACAGAATGCACATACTTATATATTACAGCTACAATATTATACACACACAAGTATTAAATAAGCGACATTTGCCTGAATTCAGATGTACACATTCTTCCATCTACTTTTTTTTTTTAATTAGAAGAATACATACTGAATTTATTCTGATGTTTACAACCTGATCTTCAACAAGAAAAATGTGAGACAGATGGATATAACATAGATTAATGTTGTAAAGGTTTTCAGCAATACACAGACATATATAGAAAAGCATAAGCAAGCATATAGATATAAGGAAGAAAACAACAGCATCTTACTTGGAATGACCATCAAATTGTCTCAGCGGGGCTCTTCCACTGATATCAAAGAGGCGGATGCTCCCTTCTTCACTGCCCGCGACAAGCAGTTTGCCATCATCTCTGTACGTGGCACAGTAGGCAGCATCTTTGAAGCGAGAGAAAGTTTTGATCGGTTCCTGAGAGTAACGACCGTAAACGTGGATCTAGCAAAACAAGAAGGCGTTAAGTTTATTGGCACGATACCAGCTGGCAAACGAAACAGGGCTATTTATAAAACCTGAGGAAAAGCTCAACAGAAAAACACCTACCCGCGAGGAGGCTGTGACAGCGTAGTTATACGGAGACACCGGGGAGAAGTCAATCTTGTTTACTGCACCAAACTCCTTTATCTGAACAGGTGTCTAAAAGAATTGCAACAGTTACCAAATACACAGCAGCACTGCCAAAAACGAAAGCAGTAGGACTAAACCTACTCTTCTTCCTACACAGTGCTTCAAACCCACACCAGGACCATTTACTCTTAAAATGGGGATCCTACCGAGCCTCTCTCCTGCCAGCTTTCCACTGCTTTGCACACTCCGGATGCACGTTTAGTGCCTCTTTTTCAGGTGTGAGGAATGATCCATTACCCACGCGTTACTGCCCCCCTCCCGGCCCGGCGCGGCCCGGGACATCCCCGCGGCGGCGGCAGCAGCGCGGCCCGGCGGCGCCGCTCCGCGCACCTTGTAGCCGCGCCAGTAGAGCGCGTCCTGCGTGACCTTCTCGCCGAGCCGCGGGTGCGCCGGGATGGCCACCGGCTTGTAGCTCGCCATGGCGCCCGCGGGCCGCGCCGCGCGCTCACGGGCCGGGCCGGGCCGGCCTGCGCCGCGATGGGACGAGCCGAGTGCCCGGGGGAGGCCGGTGCCGCCTCACGGAGCGGCCGCGGTAACGGCCGCGGTAACGGTCGCGGTAACGGTCGCGGTAACGGTCGCGATGGCCACGCCGCGCGCCACAACGGCCGCCATGACCCGCTCGCGGGAGGGAAGGCGACGCGCTCGCGAGAGCCGCGTCATCCCCGCGCGCCGCCGCTGCCCAATGGCGGCCGCGTCGCGCCGGAAGCGGCTCCGCGCGGCCGCTCCTCGTCCCCGTGCGCTGCGCCCGGCCCGCTGGCCCACGTGCCCGCGGGGGACCCAGAGCCGTGACGGGACGTGCGAGCCGAGAGCTGAGCCGCTACGCCTTGTGCAGCACTTGGCATAAATATATGTGTGTATGTGTGTGTGTGTGTATATATATATAAAAATAACATATATGTATGTGTATGCATTTGTTTGTATATATAGCTTTATTTTGTTACTACCGGACTAGGTATTTTTACTTAAATGAAGTTCCAGTTTGCTTCATTGTGGAGGTTGGCTTGGACAGCCACGTGGGAAAGAGAGGGAATAGTACGAGGACGGGGGGAATGATGAGGGCACTGGGCTCATGGCTTGTGCCCGTAGTTACATAGGTATTTCGTGGTGTTTGGGGCTACCTAAAATGCCACAAGCCCCAATGAAGGAAACGTGATGTGCCCTTGTGCATTGTGTAATGTTATAATATGCCAAGTGAACCATATTTGTGTTTAAGGGCAGGCTGCTGTAACGCCCATTCTGCACTGGGGACGGCCAGGCCGTGGCCGGACGGCGTGACGAGACGTTTCACCTAGAGGCTCCGCGCGGCCCAGGCCATGGCGAGCGCCGCGAGCGCCGCCGTCCCGCCCGTGGCCGAGGAGAGCGCCGGCGGCTACGGCCTCCCCGCCGCGCCCGGCGTCAAGGAGGAGCTTCAGCTGGAGGCCGGCGCCGACGAGGGCCCCGCGCAGAGCGTCGCCATGGGCATGAAGTTCATCTTGCCCAACAGATTTGACATGAACGTCTGCTCGCGGTTCGTGAAATCTCTGAATGAGGAGGACAGTAAAAACATTCAAGACCAAGTGAACTCTGACCTTGAAGTGGCCTCTGTCTTATTTAAAGGTTGAAATTCATGCTACAAATGGCTGTGTATGGATTGTCCTATCCCATTATCCCAATACGTTTAAAAACCTCCCCTTTTGTTATGTGTGTGCTAATCTATGGTTTTTTCTTATTCTTAGAATTCTTATTATATGCACTCAGTAATGGGCTAATAATTGTATGGGTTATATTAATATGAGCATCTTAACTTCAGCAGCTCTGTGGGATGTGCTTTAGCCTCTCACAAGTACCATGATAACAGAGTTTATACAGTTGATCTTGTTATTGATATGGCCTGCAGTCACTGAAGTGATTGATTTGCTGATGTGGTTTCACGCTCTTTGACAGTGAATATTGCCACAGTACTGCAAGCTCTTTCCTGCAGCTAGTCTCCTGCAACTGCATCAGAGTTATCAGGGGTTTATTATGGCTGGGCTATCTACAAAGAGTAGAACTGGGGCTTAAATGTGTTTCTTTTGACCAATAGCAATCATCTCTGTTGAAGCTATTTAATGGTAAAGAAAATGTAATTTGGTTTTCATGCTGTTGCCCAGGGTTATTTATAGTTCTTCCCAAAGCTGTGCTTGGCTTTGTAATCATGAAGTTCTTTATAGCGTGAATTTGGTGCACGTGTTAATTAACTTCAGATCATTAATTACTAGTGCACACTAGTCTCAAATCAATTTGGCCAGTAATGGAGTTTCAGTCTTTGCTGTCTTTCCTAGTATTTAATCATTCATCTTTTTAAAAGTGTTGGCTTCTCAGCTACTTCTCAGAACCCAAAACTACCCTGCAAATTAGAAGCCAAGACAATGCATAAATTCTGTAATAAAATCTTGTTACTGTTAGCTTAAAAAAAAAAAAGTACCAAAAAAAACCCCACAGAAACAGTGAGTTACTCTTAAGTTTTACTTAGTATCCTGCTGTGGAAAATCTTTATTCCTGTTGGATAAATATTCCAAAGACATTAGTAATGCAGTTAGAAGTTTGTCAAACAACAGTGGGAAAAGTCCTAGTGGAGGAATTTAGTGAAGGTTGGGTCCAGTCAGGCCCTGTATCGATCAGACAGGAGGCAAAAAGATGAACTAAGCATCTTTGTGATCATGCTTGGATTACGTTCATTAGGCTGGAGAGCGTTAATGAAGATAATAAATGCTCTCCTACCTGATAACCCACAAAGGTTATTCTTTTAGCTCACATAGGTTACTTAGCACGGGCTTTAAAGATCTGGTGACACTGCAGCTTTCTAATTTGACTTGGATCCTGTGCATTTCTTTTAATGCTTTTAATAGCGCTAAAGCCATATTTATTTCCTCTGTTCAATGCAGCTGAATGCAACATCCATACTTCTCCTTCCCCCGGTATCCAAGTAAGACATGTTTACACTCCATCAACAACTAAGCATTTCTCTCCAATAAAGCAGTCGACTACCCTAACTAACAAACACAGGGGAAATGAAGTCTCTACAACGCCTCTGCTTGTAAATTGTAAGTGTCCTCCTGCCTTACTGTTAATTATTTTTGTGAACTGTAAGCTAGCTACTTGCCTGTTTTTTTTCCCATTTTTCTTTGGTCTTTTAATGAATTGTAATGTAGGAAGAAAGCACTGAGCTAATTTCATATCTAATTTCATAATTCTCATGTAATTTCTTGTGTAATTTCTTGTCACCCATTTCATGGTTCAAATCTTAAAATGGCAATCTGTCTGCTGTATTGAATGCATGACTGAAGTGTGTTTTCCAGAGGAGGTCCAGTTCTTTATTTGAAAACTTGATTTGTTTTTTCTGTTTCTTCTTAAGCTCTATTTTTACGTGCTTGATAAAGAAACATTAATTCTTGAGGTGGTAATTCCAATTACTACCTTAAAGTAAGGTGAAATAAGGTGAAATCTGCTCTCAGATCTTAAATTCTGTACTACGCAAGCAATGGACATGTTAAGTGTAACTCCAAATGGAGCAGAATGAAAATTTATGTGCATACTATATGCTTTTGCTTCTGTTTTTGAAGCTTTATCAGTTCACCAGCTAGCTGCTCAGGGGGAAATGCTGTACCTGGCTACCCGTATTGAACAAGGTAAGACTAAGGAGGTTAAGTATATATTTTGTGTGTTTTGTTTTCCTTTGAGGAATTTATGATTGAACTTGTCCCCCAAACCTGTGTACAAAATTTCCAAATGTGCTACAAATTGAAGGATATTTGAAGTATCTCTTCTTTGCAAATTTGGATTGTTGTTTTATGTGTCTTTGCTGCCTTTGTATGTTTGTTTTTAATGAATTATTATCATTAGTGGGTGTTCTGGGTCAGTCCCTTCTTCCCTCTGCTCCCCAGGTATAGGGGTAGGATATGAGAACTGAGAGAGGAAAATTTGTTAGTTCTATCAGGGGAATTGTCTCCCTCCTCCCAGTTTAGCTTATAATTTAAAACACATTCCTGTTAATGGAAGCTTTCCAGTTGTATTCCATCAGTTACCATACAGAACTATACGTTGGTAATTTAAGACATGGATCATACTGGCAATGTAGGAGCGCGACGCATTCTATCTTAACCTTATATAATGGACAGATAAAATAGTATTTTCTGGTTGAACTATTAGTAATCAGCCTTGCTTTCAGTAAATATTCCAGGAATGGAACACTTCAATGGAAATTGAAATGGTTTTGCTATAAAAGATTAATTCAAATCAACCCTTCGGTCAGTCACTTGTTTTTGCTAATTTCCCAGTCTTCTACAAGTAGATCTTACCTGTTTCCACAAAACACCCTATTTGATAACCTAATCTTTCCTGGGGATGAGGTTATAATAACTATATTACAAGTTAATTATTTAAAAGATTTTGTGTCTTTCACTGTATTGGAAAAAAAAGTACTTTATACAGTATGATAGAGAATGTATTTATTTCTGAGGCAGAGAAATAGCTCTGATTACAAACAACTTTAAACATTCTTGAGTAAAAATAGAGCTTCATTTACAGAATTAAAAAAACAAATCTAAATTTTAATATGGCTTGTTGGATTTCTCCCCCCCAGTATGAGGATATTTGCATCATCACTGGGATTAACATTTGGTTTGTAAGTTCCCATGAGAATGACTGTTAGGGCACATCTGTGCCCTGATGCATTGACAATGGGTATGTCAACACATTCATTCTACCAGCTCATACAGTGCTTCAGTGGAAAGGATTACTGAAATGTATTTTCTTCTGTAAACAGAAAATGTAATCAATCATACGGATGAAGAAGGCTTTACCCCTCTGATGTGGGCTGCTGCTCATGGGCAGATAGCAGTAGTGGAATTTCTCCTTCAGAATGTAAGGAAAAATACAAATAATTTTAAATTTCTTGGTTGACTTTTGAGCTCATTTTGCATTTCTAGTCTTGTCAACACTGCTACATATTTAGAGGTATCAAAGCTAAGTTCCTTGTGAAACCTCACTTCAAAAATATTGATTTATGATTTTTCTTTTAATTATTTCAGGGTGCAGATCCTCAGATCTTGGGGAAAGGGCGAGAAAGTGCCCTCTCACTGGCTTGCAGCAAAGGATACACAGATATTGTCAAAATGCTGCTTGACTGTGGAGTTGACGTCAATGAGTATGACTGGGTAAGTCTCTCTCTCTGGAATTTACAAAGTCATGGTGCTTTGGTCAGAAACTGGAAACAAGGCACAGTCCTGGCTTGGGCTTGAAAAATGTTCTCAATCTTCTGAGATATCTGAGGCTTTCAAAACTTACGTAGGAAGCTCTTCAAAATAGAAGTTGGTCCCGTTCTGATTTTGGGGTGTAAAGAGCAATGAGATTGATACCCTTGTAGAAGATGAGCATACAGCTAAACAATTGACCAAAAGAAAAAAAAAAAAAAAAAAAAGGAAGATGTTGAAGAACCAGAACTTGGAACCTGTTTTTTTGTTGGGTTTTTTTTGTTTGTTTGTTTAAATATATATATAAAGCCTATGAATTCTGTTATTGCTACACATACCTACTGCTATGCCAAGAAATAACAGTTGCAGACTCCTGAACCATTAAATGCCTAAGGCTTTTCCACGCTTTTGCAGAATGGAGGCACACCTCTACTCTATGCAGTGCACGGGAACCACGTGAAATGTGTAAAAATTCTTCTTGGTAAGCAAGCTATGCACATTAAACCATCATTAATGAGGTGCTATCAATTCTTAGTCGGAAATCTGAGTTTGGTTTTTCTCCTGTTTTACACAGAAAGTGGTGCTGATCCAACTATTGAAACAGACGCTGGCTATAATTCCATGGATTTGGCTGTCGCCTTGGGCTATCGGAGTGGTGAGTATTACAAATGTAAATTCTGTAATTTTTATCTTTACTGCTCCTTGTTCACATAGCTGCTGTAATGAGCTTGTAGAGGTTTTTAAGAAGATCCCTGTCCTAAAAGTTTTTATACTGCTAAGTGTTTTAAGGATGAATGGATAAGGTGTTTTTTCCCCTGGTTCAGAAACCAAGGTGCCCTGCAGGTAAATGTCACCTCTCATGCAACTGTCATCAGCTTTGCTGCATCCTGCAGCGAGCTGGGCTGAGCTGCTCCGCTCCTTGGCACAAGGAGTGCGTGTTGCACTGGCAGGGAGCACGAAGCAGCCTGCAGCCCTCCTTGACATTCACCCCTTGCTCCTGTGCTCGGTTCGACTGGCATGAGGTGATTTAATTGGCAAAACTTTATTCCCCTGTCAGATTAGCTCTGGCAGAGGAAAGTTAATTTTGGATGCAGATAATGATACTGCATGCATCAATTAGGCTGCCTTATTTGGTTCTTCCCCATAGAAAAGAAAGAAGCAAAGCGTCTTTGTGGGGTTTTTTTTGCTTTTTTTCCCATCACGTTGCCTTCTTTTAGAAAGCTGTGAAATCCCTGCAGTTATAAAAATGAACTAGATTCAAACCTAAGCCAGTAATTGCGTGCATGGCTTCTCCAGACAGAGCCCTGTGCTTTTGGGGTAGCCAGTAGTTTCACAGCTATGAGACTATAGGACTCTTTCAAGAATTAAGTATCAATGTTCAATAGTAATAGTTCCTAAAAAGCACTTTTGTCTATTCTCCATTTGTAAGCTTAACAATTCACTTGTGGTTTGCTCTGCCTCTTCAAATCAGAGAACCTTGAAGAAGAATCATCTCCCTTAATGGTGTGTATTCTTTTCGTGTTATGAGAGTCTTTTATTTCTGAAGGTCTGCAGCAAACACAGGAATTTCATCTTGTCTGTTTTTATTAAGTGGCTGCATAGGGCAAGCCAGCGTCTGCTAGAAAAATGCTATTACCTTAAAGACTTAAAAATATATTAAACACTCATTAACCAGATTGCTTCTTTGCTTTAGTTCAACAGGTTATTGAGTCTCATTTATTGAAGCTACTTCAAAATATCAAGGAATAACATATGTCTTTTCTGTGGCTTTCAGCTTTTGGCTTGAAGATATGGACTTCTTTTTAGCCCTGTAATCAGTGATAGGGGTTGTTTATTTTGTACCTTTACCTCAGTTTAAATATTTAACTGACTTCAGTAAGCTTTTTAATGTGCTTCCTCTTCTTTGGTTTCTATTAATAGAAATATGTGATGTCATTCTTTAACCTAAAAAAAAAAAGTGTCAGTTGTGCAACGTGAAACTTTGTGAATAAAAACAGTTTAGATTGTCTAAATGTTCACCCTGAGTGCAATAGGCAGTGTTGTGCCAAGTGTCCAGCTTCATCTCCTTTATAATAGAGTATAATAGAGAAGAAATTTGTTTAGAGCTTGAGGTATAGTACCATAGGTGGTAAATGTCTTTACTGTTAATAGACTCAAATGTTCATTGTGCGTGATGTTTTTGATATCTTCAGTTAAAGTATTGTGCCAGCATTTTTCTCTCGTGTTTAACAAGTTGATAATAAAGTGAAGGTCTTGCACGCTGGTAGTTGAATTCTTTTTGGATGTCTTTCTGCACCCTCCTCTGCCTTCCCAGTCTGGTTCTAGAACAAGGGGATGAGAGTGGCCTTTTAGGTACCTGTGGGGCAGGTATTAGGAACCCCCTCTCGGGGCTGAGCACAGAGCACCTCCGTCTTAAACATCCTCCCTGCTGTGGCTGAACACAGCACTGTAGGAGGAGGGAGAGGACAGAAGGGGCTGCTTCCAGCCTTCTCACTGCAACGTGTTTAGCTGCTGTGTCCACTAGAGGTCCTGTGTGTTCCCAGCAATACACCCCAAATCCCCTCTCTTTCCCCCGTCTCCTGTTAATTTGCTCTTCCCTAGAGCTGAAATGCCAGAAGGGGAATACACATATACAAGACAAACAAGCTAGCAAATTACTAACTGTATTACTAGGTCTGTGTCCCCCATCTTCATTTTTTTCTCTCAGAAAATTGTTCCAAACCCAAAGCAAATCACTACTGTAAAGTACCAAGTTAAATACTTTAGTGAAAAGCAGATGCAGTGGACTCCCAGAGAAGGGGCTGGGGAAGGCCGGGGCTAATCCAGCTGAGCTCCCCAGGCCAGAGCACTAATGCATTCAAACTGCTAGCTCTGTGACTTCACCGTGAATGTACAGCAGGGAAGAGGTAGGGCCCAAGGGGAACGGCCTATGTACATTAAGCCTGAATTCATGAATAAATTTCCCTCCAATTTTGGACCAAAACTTTGGTGTGCATAAAAAGCATAAATCAGAGCAGAATAAACCTTTGAACAATGGTTGCTCCGAGAACCAGCCAAGAACTCCTTTCCTTTTAAGAAGCTGATACCTTGCATGGAATGACCCTTAAGGGAAGTGCTCAGAAATGAGGAAAGCTAACTGATCTTGCAGGTACTGGTGAAATTTTCAGTACATTTAACTAAATCTCCCCCTATTTAACTATTTTCTTTGCCTCTAACATAGAGCTTACATGTCTCCGAGTACATAAAAAAAGAGACATGAAAAGAAATGTTACACTTCAGTGTCTTATTCCCTCTTTTGCTTCAAAACTTCAATCACTGTGCATCCCACAGCTGTGAAACATAAATCTGAAAGGGAAGGCAGCCATCCTTCAGAGGCCGTTTTCTGCAGCGAGAGCCCTTGCAGTAGCATCGGCCCATGCTCCTAAAGGACTTCTAGAGGAGGTGGCAGTGGCCACTGTGAGACCCTGATAGGGAACAACCAGCTTTCCTAAGCCTTCCCCTTTTCCATAAGGTGTAATTCAGGTAACTTGAGAGAAAACTCAGAGCCAGACTCTGCCAGCAGTGAGGAGAAACTCTTACGTGAAGAAATAGTTTTACTTGCACTGCCCAAACCCATGACAGCATTATTTGTTACAGTGATAAAGCTGGAAAGCCCCTGATCCAGGGTTGGTACAGCTTTTGAAGGAGCAGCTGATGCACTTTGAGTGAACTATTGTGTAGCCTCCCCCAGACCGGAGGGGAAGAGACACAGAAAGTCAGCTTTGAGACAGGCCTGGGGACTGGACGCAGGACCAAGGGCAACTTCTGCGAGTCTCAATGTTTTCTCACCCTGACATGCCCCAGAACCAGAGGAATTTGAAAAGTGTGAGTCCTGAATCCAACTCCAAGTTGATCTTCCCTGCACATTTGGACAAAAGCACTTGCTGCTGTAATTTGTTAAAGGATCATTAAAAAGAGTTGGCACTTCACATTGAGGGAGAGCATTCTGTATTCCACAGCATTGCTTAACCCGAGTTGCTTTTTCTCATTAACCAAGGTATTTTTGCCAAATTTCAGTGTACAGCGTGTGATCATAGATGTCATGAACTCTGCCTCACAAAACAGATTGCCTAGCACAGTTTCAGGTCCTAATTATAGCCAAATGCTTCCAAGTTGCACAAAGTCTTTATCCCGTTCATTCCTGTTTGATGCTATGGAGTATTCTGGGCTACATGGCAGAAAACACGCAGTAAGTGAACAGTTGTCTGCAGTGTGACGGGTAGGACGTTTACCAGAAGTAACATTCATTTATAGCTCCCTGGGGCTGCAGTAGCTTGGAAGCCCTACAGTGCCTTTGCAGGCAGCCTTTATCTGCTGGCGGGGAGGTGAGAGAAAAGAGAAGAAAAAGGCAGCCCTATTCATGGAAGGCAGTAATACAGATGGGAACTACATCTACCACAGCGAAAATGCAACATCGCCCAACTGCTTTAATTGCTGAAATAATTCCTGCTTTCACATACCTAAGCAATGACTGAGAGGTTGAACCAACAAAGATAGAGAGAAGTGCCCTAAGCAGATTGTTAATAATTGATTAGAAGCTAACATGTTATGTTCTAAGAAATTAAGGAGAACATACATTTAAATCTATACATTTCCATCCAGGCGGGACTCAGTCTATTGAAAAAAGGTTAATTACAGACAATGTTAGCATTACTACTTGCATGTAAAGTTGGATGAGCTCTTTGTAATGCTCTTCCCTGTCTGTTCCGGTTTTCTCTGGGACCTGTTACTTGTTCCACTCTGTTGCCTTCTTTGTTCATCTGGTCTCGTACTTTGAATGAACACTTCAATTTCCAAGATAGTTACAGAAAGCAGCAACCTCCTGCTAGAGCTTCCCAGGGAAGAGCCTCAGCTCCCTGCAGCCTCCTGGAGCTTTTCCCTTGGTTTAACCACACCCGGCACCGCTTCTCCGGGCCATGCAGGGAGCAGGTGCCCGCAGTGGGGAGCCAGGGAATCTAGGGCAGGACACAAAACAGGGTTTCTGCTCTCCACATTTTCCAAGGTCCATGGTAGGCAGTGGCAGCTCTTCTCTGTGGCACTACAGGCCAACCCTAGTCCTGCAGCCACAGGGCCAGGATTGCCCCAGTGATACGTCTCAGAACTCCTGGGTCGCTCTCTAGATGGTATCCCAGTATCCCTGTGGCAGGAAAGATGCTGGTACTCATCTCCAAACAGATGGAAGTCTGCCATTCAACTTTATCCACACTTGGCTGAGCTTCCGCTGCTTTTGCCTTTCCAAAAAACAGCTTTGTCTGCTTTATAGTGCCTTGGTCCTATCTTCTTCCATTAACCTTTAAGTAATTTTGAGGCACACTCCTTCATGTTCTAATGTGGCTACTTAATGCACAGCCATAAGAAACAGCTACAAACTAGAATCAGAGGTACTTCATTCTCCTGTTTTATGAATTCTTGGAACAAGAATGTCAGAATGTCAGTGGAAGAAACCAGAAGGTTATATAATCCCTAGCATGAACCAGATGCAACTCCATATTCTTACACTGCTGAGAAGGATAACAGGGAAAATAAAATAAAAAAATTAAAAAAAGAAAAAAGAAAAAAAGAAAAAAGAAAAAAAGGAGAGCACGAGAGAGAAACGGTACTTACTATGACAGACATTTTTCACTTGGAAGCAGATCACAGAATCACAGAATATTCAAGGTTGGAAGGTACCTCTAGAGATCATCCATTCCAACCTTCCTGCTCAAGCAGGCACACCTACAGCATGTGGCACAGGGCAGCATCCAGGCGGGTTTTGAAGGCCTCCAGAGAAGGAGACTCCACAGCCTCCCTGGGCAGCCTGTGCCAGGGCTCTGTCACCCTCACAGTGAAGTTCCTCCTCACCTGGAGAAAGAACTTCCTGTGTTTCAGCTTATGCCCATTTCCCCTTGTCCTATTGCTGGCCACCGATGAGAAGAGTTCGTCCCCTTGTTCCCTGCATTCTCCCTTCATGAACTTATACATGTTAATCATATCTCCTCTCAGCCTTCTCTTCTCCAGAGAAAACAGGCCCAACTCACTCAGTCTCTCCTCACACAAGAGATGTTCCATTCCCTTAATCATCTTAGTTGTTCTCTGCTGGACCCTCTCGAGAAACTCCACATCCCTCCTTATACTGGGGAGCCCAGAACTGCACCCAATACTCCAGGTGCGGCTGATCATTAAGAACATTCCAGCACAGACTTTCCTGACCACTACGGGCCACAGTTCTTCCCTTTACAGCAGTGGTGTCGATCAGTGGCGTGCAAACAGGGCCCATCGCTAGGCTGCCCATCATTAGCGCTGCTGCAGCCTCCCACTGCGCGGCACATCCGTGCTTGGCTCCCGCCAGCGGCCAACGTAGAGCCAGCTGAATTGGGAATCCAGTCACTTGGAACTTTAAGGATCAAGGATATTGTGAGGGTTTATGCCTAGGAAAGACATCTGAATAGATCTTTCGGTTGAGGTTGATTTGTTACCAAATTAAGCTGGCAATTCTTTGCACACACAGGACTGCAGGGCACGTCAGTCAGCCTTCAGCAGACGCACCCTGATGAAGGCAGCCATGCACGCGAGAATGGGGGAGCAGGGAAGGTTGCAGAGCCTGGCAGGAAGGGAAATGTAAACGTTTACATGGAACAAGGTGGGTTATGGCTCCGACTACACTGTACAGCTCATCCTTTACTTACAAGGAGCAACCTAAGTAATCCCTGGGTAAGTCTCTGACGTACACTGTGAAGAAATTTGCTTTGAATCATTATACAGATCAACTGTACAAAAAACCCCCTTATCTTTAGCACCAAAAAAAAAAAACCAACCCACACCCACCCAAAATACACTATATAGCCAGAGAACAGGCTTTTCAAAGCCCATAACTTTTTCCAGCAAGTGACATGAGGGTCTGCATCATTTTCATAGGAATCCCAGCTATTTCCTTGGAAGCATCTCAGAAGCACATACAAAACCACGCGATGGCTTCACTCACCCTCCTGCATCACTGTGAGCCAGAGGATGCTGGACCATGTGCAATCCACAGGCAAGTCTGCTATGCCAGACCTGGCACAGCAGGAAAATGGGCATGTCCTGGCTAAACCCTGCACCCTATATTTAGGGCCATGAAGTCTAACTCATCTTTACAGCAGCTTACTCTGGCTACTTTTTCTCTGGTACAAAACGTATTGCAAATATTGGGGAAGATCACAGGCACACAGCACTGCCACTGTCTCCAAAAAGAGTTCTGTTCAGAAACATTATGCTTTTCTGCTCACATAGAGCGGGTATCTGTGAAGACTCACAGCCTCCAGAACATATGCTGGTACACTCATCTGCATTAGTGAATACTGTTTGAAGACTCAAGTCCCTTTAGAGCTCGCTTTACAGCCTGCTAGCATAATTTGTCTGTCAAGTCTGCTTCACTTCTTAGTGAGACAGAGGGGACTTAATTAAAAAGCAAAGACAAAAACAGTTTTATGATTTGAAACAAGCAGTACTTTATTTTCAAGGTATGAATAATTCAAACAAGATAAAGCTAAAGGACGAGAAACAAAATGGGCAAATTCACTACTGAGCGACCTGTCACACTAAAGCCGCATGACAACCCATCCAAGTCTAGAGCTCCTGCCCAAGGCCAGCCCGACCACCAGCACAGGTGGGCACGAGGCCACATCCACACAAGTCTGAATTTCTTACGCTGGTAAGAAAGAGATGACTGCAAGGAAATGGAAACCTTTATGCTGATCTAACTTTTATCAACAGTAGAAATAAAAATCTTCAAGAACATCACCCCTGGGGAGTACTTACTGGAGCATAAAATGCTGCAAATATGCATAGGGATTATCTATCCAAACAGTGCCCGAGCTCTGCTAGAGGCAAACTCTGGCTGCCCGAGCTGGCTGTGCTCATTTCACTCTGTTTAGGAGCTTCCCTGCACCAGTAAGAAACGCAGCACCTCCCGATTTCTAACACTAAGTGGTGCAAGGCAGCCAGAAGGTGAGCAAATGAATTTTCACATTATTTCTTCTATGCTGCTTTGGATGCAACCTGCCTCAGGGACAAAAATCCGTAACAAATACCTCAAAACAACATGCCTGCCACTTTGCCGCCACAAGCGTACAATTTTTCACTTCATCTCATTTTTATTTTAGGTATGAATCCTACAAACAATTGTATTCACATTAATTTTGCAGGATCTGAGCCTTGAGGCAGCAACTGTCTTTCACCATATGTTTACATGACTCAGGGCTACCAGGGGCAGCTCAAACCCACAAGAGGAACTCAACAAAATGCAAGTTAACTGATCTGTAAAGAGGAAGTCAAACAACATCAGAAATCAGCACAAGAGCACAAGTATTTTAAATGCAGTTGTTCTTAATAAATATTTAGCAACAATCCCTATTCACTCAGATCTGCTCTGTTTATACATCACTGCCATGCTGTTCAGGGAAGTGGCTTTAATGAAGCATTAAGGCTTTTAACTCCTCCAGACTCAACACCATTGGAAAGGCAAGGAAGAATGTGAACCATAACATATACTGCCAACACCACCCTACTGCGATCTCCACAATGAAACATACTGCAATGAAACACAACTTTCAGAGCCACAGCAATGGCCTGCTTTGGCCCACAAAAGCAGCCTCACGTTATCTTTACCTTGCACGTTCAAAAGCTGTTAGGAATGGAAGGCAGCCCTCTTAGATATCAGTTTGGTCCTTAAGGGTGGCAATCTTACTTATACAGGACAGAGTATAAGCTCACTGCAAAACAGCAATGCAGGAAGTGCTACAGCTGAAAGCAGCTCTGCCCCTCCAGCTGTCCTTGGTTCTCTCTGCAGTCACATAAGGCAGTCAGGGGAAAGCAGCACAACAGGACTAGGTGGTTCTAGGAGCTGTTGTGCTGCTTTCCCCTGACTGCCTTATGTGTAGCACAAAACCAGAGTTCCTTCTGCTTCAAACACCTTCACAGCCAACTTTTCAAAGTCTAAGCTTTTTTTTTAAAAAAAACTGATTTTAAATTCCACTAAGTAAATGATCACAAATGTTTGCTACAACTATGACTGCCTAGGATTAACAAGCAGCACATGGAGGTTGTTGGCTGTTCAACTTTCCAAGGCTAAAAGCTTTAAGATGCAGCTCAAGACCATCAGAGATCATTAGCACAGATGTGGCACTATGAACGGTCATATTGGTCTATAACTGGAGAAAAGACTTAAATTCACCTTTGGATATGTTCTGAAAAGTTGGAGAGTAGGACACTACCTGCTTTAACATTTTTCTACACCTAAAATAGCTACTCAGTTCAAGAAGGAAGTGGAATCAGTATTTTAAGTGGAACAGATATTGGCACCAATAGCTGCCAATACCCTGCGTAACACACCAAAATCCTGACTGAATCAGAGCAAGAGAAGCGTTGCATGAATTGGCTATTTGATACTGAAAGCGAACGCATTGGTTTTATGACGGTCATACTGGCCCAAGATCAGAATAGTAATAAGATGTCTTAGAATCACCTGGCACAGCCTGCATAAGAATACAAATATTTAATTATTATTGCATATGCCTTTGTAACACTAAGATTTGTTCAGATTCAGTAGTAAATGCAAGGAGTTGGGCTGTAACTCATCTGTAAAAATATCTATCCCTGCACAACACAAACTCGTCAGAATGGCTTTTTCATCATCAATCTAGCTTTAGTGCTTTGTAAAGGCAACGTACAAATTGCACCTTTAAAATAAGTTTCCCACAGAAACACAGATTCTAGCTAAATATATACATATATACATACACACACGTGTGTGTAGATATCAGCAGGATTGCAGACTCTTATCCTCTCTTAAATAAGAATCCATTCAAAAATAGTCCAGGCAAGTGACAAGAAAGCAGGCACATTAACAGAACAATGAACATCTTCATGGTGAGAGCACACATACATACATAATCCAGAGAACACAGCTTCAAGTACACAGTTACATATATGATTCTCAAAGCTTTGAGATTCATCCATTTTTTATTCATCTTTAAAGCTACCCAGGTTGACTTACAGTCAAACTAATCTTTGTATTTTCTTATGCTATAAACCATTCAGTCGAGTGAGCTTACCTGCACTGTCTGCTGCTTTTCTGTAAAAGCTTCATTCCAATCTTTTAACAACCACATGAAATGGAAAGATTTTCAGCAACTCTAACAAATTACAGGATGTGGCTGAAGCTACAGGAGAAAGAATAAAAAATGCTCAATAAAACGAGGACTCACACCCATGTATTTAAAGTCTAAGAAACTAAAAAATACTTCAAATCACCTAGCTTAAAAAAATAACAAAACAAACCCACACTCCTCTTGACATCTGCTGTAGAGGTACTACCATCTACCTCATCACTCATTTAAAGCTGTAATCTAGACATCATCTTCTCTAAAGGCCAACCAATAAATAGGCTCTTCCATCCATGCTTAAGAATATTAACTCTACTTACTTATGTTCAAATTTGTGCTCACAAACAGCATCATCAACCAGGTTGCATGAGCTGGCATCTCAAGTAGAACATTGTGTTTTTTTCCCCCCATGGCCAAGAAAAGCCTTAAGAGTTTGATGCGTCTCTTAAGAAATAAAAAGAATCCATTTTTTCCTCTTCTTTTATAGTAACTCAAGACTTCTAGAGCCTTATACAGAAACAAAGCTTAAAAAAAAATCACTGCAGAGAATGTTTACACCCACACAGCACTAAAACAAAGCATAGTTTCACAATTTTGTGAAAAGGTTTTAACTGCTTTATTAAAGACACTATTTTTAAACAAGAGTAAAGTTCTTAAAGCCTAAGAAGCTTAAGAATTATGAAAATATTTCTAAAAAAGAACTGTTACAAAACGGTTTCTTTAGTATTCATTACTGCATTAAAGCCAAGCTGTTACAAAGCATATTGTGACATTTTATGCACACAACCAAAGCATTGCTTTAGCTTTTCTAAAATTAAGCCACAAATAAGACCTTTGTTTCAATTGAAATCCACTCATCTATTTTAGTTCTCCTTTGTCCAAGATATTTCAAATGGATACATGAAACCATTTTCTTTGAGCAGTACTATAGATGCGAGCCCTTAATGGTCTGATTATAGTATGGTTACAGAGAAGTTCAAGCTAATGAGAAACATCCACACATAACTGGTAGAAACAGAAAATAGTTAATGACAGACTAGGAAGATAACTACATTCCTTATTAAGAGAAAATAATCACAGCATGGAACACAAGACTGAGTATTTAAGTGCTAGACATGAAAATCAGTACCTTCAGCAGAAGAATTACTTTCATTTAGAATCTGCTATAATCACAAATGCTTTGATCATTTCTTGATCCTCAGTCAGAGCTTACTTGTATTGAAATACACCAGTATTTCCTGACTGCAAGCGTACTTACCAAGTTGACTTCCACAGATGTCACCTGCCTTATTGAATTAGCATTAGTTCTGCATTTCAAACACACTGTCTTTCAGCATTTTTAAGCAAGTACTAGAGTGTTAACCTCTGCTATCTAGCATACAAGATATTAAATCACTTCATGAGATGGAAACCAACACAAAGCATTTCATAAGTAAGGCCACAGTGGCTTAGACAACAGAGCAAGGATTCTCAAAAACTTACCTCTGACTCACAAAATGGGTAATGTTAATTGATTTCCCCGAGGCAACACACATTTATTTAGCTGACACCTCATAGAAGGTGCAGTAGACAAGTATGCAGAATTTGTTTTTCACCTTTTACAGGGCAATTGACTTAAGGTCACCAACACCTACTTCAAAACAACTTTGCATAGTTTTTCTGTGCCTTATTTTCAGTCATTCAAGAGATGCACTTTTCCTACTTGAATTCAGAACAAAACATGCAGCTTATCAAGAGTGCTTGTACACTGAAAGCAAAAGTAAACTGAAATCACTGCTGTAAGTTCTTGCGCCTGACCTCAGCCATGTCACACTTGGCCCAGGCTGCTGCCTTACCTCCAACTGCAGGAGCTCAGCAGCTCAAACAAGTTCCTCCAGTCTTTAGCCTTTTCCAAGGGCAACAAATGATTACACCATGGCAGACACGCTGAGCCAGTCCAACACAGACCCACCCTGTCCTGATGCAATGAGAACCTTTATGTTACAACAGTTTCCCAAGCTTCACCCTGAATTTCATCCTGCACAAAACAGAATGAATTTCCACTCTGAAGTTATTTGTTCTAAAGAACAAATACCAGCTCTACTACCAGCCTAGTGTCCTCCATTTCGTTTGTGTTAGTTATCTGATTTATTAACAGCAAAGACTCCCAGATCTAAAGTTTAGTCCTCCAAATGGGAACTTCATCTATGCAAAGATCAGAATGAAAATTACACACTTGTTGCTCAGGGGAAAAAAAAACCCACCCACAAACTCCTTCTCTGGAATATCTTTGAGCAATAGAAAAAAAATATAATCCTGAACAACCAAATATAACTGTTAATACACGTAAAGATGCTAAATATAGACTTAAGATACATAATCAACTATTACACCTTTCTCTTCCTATACTTCTATTGCATCACATTTTTTCTTTCAGATAAACTAAAGTACAGCAACGGCACTATTTTACTGCCATTACTTATAACTTTGAGATACCTACTGAACGTTAAATTTAACATTAATCTCTAGTTCCTCCAAAACAACTAAAGCTTGCTGTCAAGAGACAACTCTATCCCAACATGCCTATTTTACACTGTATTAGAACACCATAAATTCATTCTAGAATATAGAGGTACTTCCCAAATCCATTCAATAAGGTGACTTAGCAAATCAGCCAATTCCCAGTGTTTACACATTAAGATTACCATGCTCAATTATGTTTTTTTTTCTAATAAAGCAAAAGGAATACACTTTTCAGAAAAGCAAGATGACTAATTAGGATAGTTCAATATTTACGGTCACTCTCTACTGAAAAATATGCTTTTCTGACAAGAAGCCACACTTAAAATTTTATTGAATATTTTTATTATATGCCAAAGTTCACTGAAGATGGGGATTTGCTTGTATACAAGTTATTCAAAAAATGTATTTAGGCAGAGATTATTAGCAATCTGACTTATTTGAAAGCATATATTTAACTTCAACCAGGCCACAAAAATAGTATCGTGTACAAGCAATAACTAAGATGAGCTGCAAGGTTCAAGGAGTTTCCAAATATTACAGATCTTGTGATCTCAACAGAAAAGAAAAAAAATCAAATAAAAGCAGTCACAATATAAAATAGCAGCTCCATGTAGCTTTTTCAAGTTTTAACTTTATTCAGAAAGTGACACTTAGTTCAGTTTGCCTCATTCTTTGAAGCCTCATCAAAGTTTTCAACCAGATCTAGAAAAAGGAAGAAAAAAATAGAAATTAGCATTACCAACTTCTAAACTAACACTCACCAAGCAGAAGTTCATTTTTACGTCATAAATACTTGATACAAAAATAAATAAAACTTTCACTTTATAAGATACAGACTTCATGTTTCATTCTTTCTTAAAGCAAGAAGCTTTAGGTGCTTTATAAATATTATAAACCACAACTCTAGGTACTTTTAATTTCACTAATAGTGAAACTAATTTAGTGAAGTAGTTTAGTGAAACTGGCACTAGTTTAGTTTCACTATTTACCTTCACTACTCTCATCATTGAGCAGAAGGCAAGTATAGTGAAAAATCAGTTTCTTCCCATCCTTGTTACTGAATGGAAAGGTAACTGTTATGCAATAGTTATTTATACGAGCAATAGTTAGCAATAGATTAAAAAGCTATCTCAAAAACAGTAATTCATCCAGTCTTGAGCAGCATCTGAAAACTGCCAGTTTCCATCTGTAAAACTTCCACAGTAGTAAGGACAGGATAACTTATCCATAGAAGTGTTTTAATATTCTAGCTTTCTTTTGCCCTGTATTTGCTACAACATTATCTTTCAGTAATATTCACAACTTTCTTTTCCTCCATTTAATGTTTGTTCTTACCTGGAACTTCATCATCATCATCTTCACCAGTAGCAAGTGGCGCTTTCCCATCCACAGCTGCAACAGCAAGTAGTTCAAAAGTATCATTGAAGCTCAATATAGGCATCTTGGTTACAAAGGGTTTTGGTGGTTTTTGTTTTGTTTTTAAGCAAACTTGATCAAAGAGACTGAACTATACCGCAATGCTTTGTATTATTTCTCCACTTAATATCAATTTACAGTCATCAGTAATAAAAAAAGTTAACCTGGTAAGTATATGTTCCAAGACAGCCCAGCAGGGAAACGAGATAATGCATGCTAGTCAGCATCTTGCAGCTACGTGTTGACTCACTGGCACAGTAATGAGCTACAAGTGCCAAGACTTGTATTTTATCCTTCCTTTTAACAGTAATTTGATTTATTGACTACTCACTGGTTCTCAGCATCTGCCTATTTTATAACATCAACAAGAAAGAGAAAGGAGCTTTTCTTTTAAGCCTAGACATTCAAGGAAAAACAACCTGTAATTGTTAAGCTGCAGGCAGACATAGAGCTGGTTAAAGGAGATACTGCTCCCTAGCAAAGTCAGTGGAACTGAATGTGCAATTTTGCATTTAGCCAGAAGAGGCAATCACATGACCTGGTCCACATCTCTGCTGACCCACTAACTTAACTATTTCAATTATGTTTGTCAGAGCTAACTAGGTTCAACTATGCCCATTCTAGCACATCAATGAATTATCAGTGAAACTGCAGCACTATAGTGCTAAGAATAGATACTTCAGGATCTTGGGTGCCAGTGCCACAACTTTTATTGCTATTATTAGCTGTACCACTTAGGCTGAACTGCCTCAAACACTATTATCTCACTTCATCCAAATTAATCCTTCTCAATTTTCAAAAGCACAGGGCAAGAAATGGATTCACACCAAATCTCTAAAAATCAATGTACCCTGTTTTTTGAAAAACACATGAATTCTAACCTGGAGCCTGAAAGAGCTTGGGACATGGTCACTGCAAACCTTCCTTTTGTTTTTAAACAGCAGGAAATGTAGCACTGGACACTTAGATGTATTAAAGCTGTTACAGCTTTAACACTGAACAATGTTATTTCCTCCATAAAATTCACAGGATGTACTTAATAGTAAAAGGCTTGATTAGCTTTCAAGCCAATATCCTTAGCAGTATATGTTGTCTCTCATCTACCAGCCCAAACTAGGTTTATTTTAGTACCTGCAAAAGCTATGCTCACACACAGTTCACTCTTTGATGTCAGACTTCCAAAACTAGTAAACAACGCAGAATGGAAAGTTTTGTGCAACTGTTCTGGCCTCCATCCATCCAAACTGGAAAGTGACAGCTATTTAACAGACAAGCACTCTAGGCAGCTTCCTTAATATTAAACTGCACAATTTTGGCTAAATATACCTACCTTGTTTCTAGAGGAAAGCTGGGACCTTACCATCTTAAGAAGTCATTTTAAGTCCCAGTTTTCTCACTGTCCTATTCCTACCAACAAAGAAGTCACTCAGGTGACATTAGGAAGGAGAGAACAGACTGAAGCCTCATCTCCTCCTCCTACTTAAAAGGAGCCCTATTCCAGCAGGATTTGTTTTAAGCGGGGGGAAAATGGATCGCAAGCAAGTATCCAACTTCAGTAATGGAAATAGAGGTCAAATCTATCACAGTAATAAAAACTGGTCCTCAAGTATTCTCAGAAAGAATGAGAATATCAAGTATAATAAAGAAAGAAGTCCTACTTTCTACAAAAGCTCATCTTCGCTAGCAACAAATTACAAAAAGGTGTGCAAACATCAAGCCAGTTACTAGCAGGAACTGGACACTTTCATAAGTCTCTCCCATTTTCTCTAAGATATTAAGTACATCACAGGGAATGGACTTCAGATATTTAAAAATAGAAATTGGAAAAAACACTACATGTAGGGAAAGGGAAATGCAACCAGTACCAGTAAGACTTTCACTCCCAATTCTCATTCTGTAGTAGCAGCAGCACCTTTTCTGAACATTCTATGCTTGAGGGCCTCCTCTAGTTTTCCCTCCTGCAGTTTTAGGGAGTATGAGATGTGGACTACAAAGTTGATGTACCTGCCAAGTCTGTTCTCTACAGCTTTATACACGCAGCTATTATCACATCTTTCCTAGCAGATTCCATATTGGCTATCAAAAGAGCCTGTGCTGGAAGAAATATCTACACACCTGGTAAGTCTCGCTACTGCCTTGCTGTTACCTACAGCCCAACTCCACTTACTTCCATTCAAACTGTCAAAAGAAACAAGCGCAATTTTTTTTTTTTTTTTTTTTTTTTTTAAACCTAACTCTCTGGAGTTACTGATCTACCTAATATTAAGGAACTATATCAAACTATGGTAGCCCCACTAAGACATTAATTGGCATGAAATCAGGCCCAGCTACAATTTCATAGTCCGAGACCAACTGCAACTATACAAGTAAGCTACATATGACAGCTGCCATCATAAAATGTATTTAAGGTTCAACTTACGTTGCTTGGGTAGGGCTTCTGCCAATCTCCTCAGGCTGGTCAGACTGTCAGCTCCAAGCTGATTTAAGATGCTAGGAAGCATTTCTGTCAGCTGCTTTGTCTCAGCATGGCCAGTGATAGTAAAAGTATTAGCAGCCAGAGAAGCCTGAACTTTAGGGTTATTGAAGTGAATGACTGTTCCTTGGTTGGTAAACATATTTACCTGCAAGAAAAAAAAAAGTAAGTTTCAATTTAACAGAAAACTAGTTGAATCTGCTAAAGTTCCACAAAGACTTGCTGGCAATTTACAGATAAGCTTAAGGTATCTGAATATTTTTCTGAATGCCAGGAAATTGATACATTTTATGTTTTTATATTAAGAATCTTTTTTCCTCCTCAGAAGTAATTACCTCTTCAATACCAGAAATATTGTTGACTCCCAGTTTCTTCAAAGAGAACTGAAGTTTCTTGTCATCTGCTGTAGCTGTTCTATGCACAACCTTCTTCTTTCTGCGAGCAGTACCCTTGAAGGGGGGAAAAAAAGGGTTTTAAATTAAATATTAATTAGTTCTTCACAAACTCTAACCCACAGGGTCACATAACTACAGTTATCGACAACTCAAGTTAGCAAAGTTCCATTTCTTTGTTATGGCACATGCAACTCCACCCCTCACACTTCAGGGCAGCAGTCTTTTCCCTTGCTACCAGAAAAGTTTCGCTTGGTTGTTCATTAGAAACAGCAGATTTTAGGATTTTAGGAACTAATGCAGCAGAGACGATTCTCATCCGGATCTTGCAGAACCATATTTTGAAAAAAAAAAAAAAAAAAAAAAAAAAAAAAAAGTCCTTCCTTGTTCTAGCCAAGATTTTATATAGGAGAACAAAGACTCCTAAGTTACCAACGCATCATAAACCAGTAACACAAGCAAACTCTAAACACTACATTTTTTTCAAATACACACCTCCATCCAGTGGACTTGCACACTGAAAAGCTTTGCCAAAATAATATTTTAGAAGTACTTCTAAGTAGTACTTCTAGAGCAGCTCTGCTTAGAAATAGAAACATATGCAAAGGGTAAGCTCCTCTAGAGATACAGAGCCCTACATTTCCCCAAGGATATACTTGACCTATATTAAAAGATGTTTGTATTTACAAAAAAAAAGGAAAAAACTACCACCATTTCCTGTCACAATCACAAGCCTTCAATAAAACGTCATAAAAAAATCTAGAAGCAAGTTAAGTAACTATTAAGTTCCTTTTTGACACATTATCACTGCTAATCTAAGCCCAGGTAATTCAGTTTCTGGTCTGCTAGCAACAAGCAAATGATGTTGAACTCTCTGAATGGCTACAATATCCTGAGTGAACTGACAGAAATTAAAAAGCCCATCAGACACCAATACCCCTAATACAGTCCTACTACAAACAAAGAGAAATGTCAGTAGACAAATTCAGGTGAAACTAACACTTGGATGAGCACAACTCCAAGTGAGTTTCATGTTCATTCCCTATTACCACCATCAGGCAAGTACACAAGCAATTTGAAAACTACTAAAACTAGAAAGATATCCTAAGTACCTTGCCTATCTCAGGCATGTGATCACTACAGAAATCTCTCAGGACAAAAAAGTTGAAGGACTTCCTAGGTATCCCGTATAAGTCAACTGCAATATACCACTTCATTGCAAGGCATGTCAATTGCAATGTACCCACTTCTACATCAGCCTAAGTAAGAACAATTATCAAAACTTCAGTCAACGCGAATCTAGTTGAAATTCACAGCTGCAGTTTTTGTCTTTGGGGATTTAAGCTTCTAAGGTTATAGTAAGCAAATTCTCTGCTGATCATGCTGAGGCATGCTATTTACACAGCTCTGTGTTAAAGAGCAGCGGGTACAGGCAGGCTACAAATGCAACACAATTTACACAGATGCATCTAAGTTCTCCTCTAAAAAGGTTTGGAAGTAAAACTATGGTATTTAGCTGTAGCAATATCCTACACAAAAATTTTCAAGTTTCACGTAACAACATACTACAATACTATATACACCTTACTACAATACTATATACACCTATATAAATACATAGTGCATTTTTGACATCTACAGCCTTGAAACATTGTGAAAATCTTCCACCAGAAGCAGAAGCTTAGCCTCTTCTCACAATAAGGAGAATTGACTTTTCCTTCTTCTCCATTCCCAAAGTAAAACACCTCCCTCAGCTGATCTGACAACACTACCCTTCAAGCAATTTCCAGTTACAAACCTAAGTCAAGCTCAAGCATTCAAACAATTTCACAAACTAATTTTAAATCTGAATGATGGCACTGCCACCATATTCTAAACTTCACTTAATGTCTCTAGAAAACCTTTAAGTGCTCACAAAAGCAGTCATCTTAGTTTCAGTAAAGAGAGTAATCTGGGTTTCACATAATTTCAAGTGACTAATGTTAAAAGGCACTACAGTCAACACAAGGAGTACATTTGCAATCACTAATGTGGTACAGTAGCTTTCTACTCAGCAATTCCCCATATGCTGCATATTGGGGTAACACCTGACTTAAGGCTGCCCAAGTCTCTTTATCTACAGGCAAAAACCTCAACCCAGAAACAAAAGCTACTGGAAATTTCATTAATAATAAATAAATAAATATGCTGAACAGCTCTTCCATATAAACAAGTTCTTGCTGTAAAAACTTCAAACTGAAATTTAAGCATTTACTTGCACAGGACCATGTTCACAAGACTTCTTCAGTTCTGTGTTATCACACACTTACATAATCATGGGTGTCACAATAACAAAAAGACATCTTCCAAGCAATTTATGTCTTCCAATTCCACAATGATAACATTTGGGCAAAAAGAGAAATTCAAAGTTTCTCCTGAGCAGCAATATACACTCACAAGCACCTTAAGAATTGGTGGCCAGTGTCTGGAACATAACTCTCAATGCTTTTAGAATAGAACTCTACCTAAACGCACTTGCTGTAAGCTCTACTTACAAGCATAAGGTCTGTCTAACACGGCCTGCACAGGGATAGGGGCCCGACACCCTCAGGGCCTCAGGCACCCTGCCTTCGAGGGCCTGGTGAGGGGCAGGGCTGCGGGGAAGGCCGCGAGCAGCACAGGAGGCGCCTACCTTGCCGCCGATGCGCACTTGGGCCTGCAGCTTGGCAAGTTTTTCCTGGTTCATGATTGTTTCTTTCATCTGCGGGAGGAACGAGAGGCGCTGTGAGGCGGCACAGGCCGCGGCGCCCCGGGCGAGCGCAGAGATGCGGGCGAGGGGGCCTCAGCCGCTCTTTCCCGAGAAGGGCGCCCGAGCCGGTCGCGACAGGAGGGGCCGGGCCGGGCCGGGCCCGTCGCTGCCCGCGCCGCGAGGACGGCGTTCCCTCGGGCCCAGCCCGCAACCGCCTCCCGCCCGCCCCCAACCACCGCCGCTCGCGGTCCCGCAGCTCCGGGGCCCAGCCCGGACCCTCCCCGCCGCCCCCTCGGACCTTCCCGTGCGGCGGCGGCGCGGCCGGAGCGCAGGAGAGCGGGAGCCGCGGACAGGGGCGCGGCGCCGAGCGCAGCACGCGGAGCCGAGCGAGATGGCGGACGGAAGAGGGGGCGGCGGCGGGCGGCGGCGCGCTCGACGCGTGACGCAAGCACGTACGCGCGCGTGGCCCTGGGCGCCGTGGCCGCCGCGCCGACAGGGGGCGCCCCTCCCCCCGCCGCGCCTCGGCACCTTGGGGGGCCGCCAACGGCCGCCAACGGCCGCGCGGCGCGTCCACCGCGGCGCCTTCCTCCCTGCCCGCCGCTGTGCCGTCCACGGCGTCTCCTGCACGTGATCCTGGTGCTGCCTTCGCCATGCCCCATCGTCCGGCCCGGCAGTGCCACGGAAACAGCACTTGAAGCGCCCCTTCGCTGGGTGCTCAGTACCACAGGGGAAATTCAGGCTTTGCTTTTCAAGTCTGCATGTAACCAGCCTTGCCTACATATATATATTCGTGTATAATTATATATATATATTTATAAATCTGTCCTATAACTCATTCTCACTTTTTTTTGTTGTTGGTTTTTTTTTTTTTTTTTTTTTTGCTTTGACTTCTTAACCCCTTTCGTGTTCAGTTCCACTCAATCAGCTGCTTTCTGCCTGTTGCTGACCACACACCCTCTGCACTCGTGTTGGTAGTCTTCAAGCTTTATAGCTTTCCTACTGCTATATCTTGCTGAGGTTGTAGCACAATTCATAAATATATATAGATGTGCACACTGCTCTTGCTGTACCAGGATCTTGTCCTGAGAGAACTGAAGGCGGAGCTCCAGGGCTCTCATGCTCCTACTGATCCCCGATTCTGAGTGTTTCTGAAGGCATTTGCTCAGGCTGTGCTCAGATGGGCAGAGATGGCTGAAAAACTCAGTCCTCCAACGGTTCATTAGGGCACTTAACGCTGTGCACTCTGCAGAGGCCGATTCCCCGATCTCCCAGAGCGCTTGCGGCACGCAGTAGCTCCGGGGCGATCTCGCCATGGGGAAGCGGAGCCTTGTTGTGCACCGGCTGGGACAGCGGAGCCGCTCCGGAAGCCAGCGGCCCGTGGAGCCGGGCAGCGCTGCCCACGCTCCCCAGCACTGCCCATGGGAAGCCCTGGGGCTCTGCGGCCCTTCAGAAACAGGACCAGAAACGTAACTGGCCTGCCTCACTCCTCCTGGTTTCCATGCCTTTCAAATAGTCTCTTTGATAGAATAGCCCCAAATATAGTTCTCATAAATAAAGTGTTCTCTTGGTTTTGTTGCTATAAAACATACCATATTAAAATATGTTTCATGCTAAGTATATTAATTAATACAGAAGTATAAACTAAGGTTGCAATGTTAGTAATGGAGATAATAGTAAGTCCAGAATGTTTCTTTTTCCCTCCAATATATTTAATTTGCTATGATCTCTCCACTGTCTCGGAGAAGAATGTTAACTTGTGATTGAGTTGCTTGTCATAGACGTTTTTATGGACTTCTGTAATTAGTGAGAATATATGATAAGCCTAACGCATCTCCATCTAGTGGTGGTAAGAGGTCACGAGAGCGTAAGGTGCTGCTGAAGGACAAGCCGTGCGTCTCAGCAGAACTGAAACTTCTGACTGCACTGTCACAGGTGGAAATTACAGGAAGGAATGAAACAACTATAAAAGGGAAAAACTGCATAAATTTGTTGTAGCATTTTGGAAAAAAAAAAATGGAGAGTGAAATAGTTTGCTCAGAGAAAGAAATACTCGCTGAATAATCAAATACCGTATGTATTTCAGAAGGGAAGGCACAAACTAAATCCAAATACGGGGTGAGGGGAAAGCTTCAGGAAGAGAGCAAGCTCATTCTGAAAAGAAAGTTTGCTAATTTATTGAAAATGGAATTGGCTGTGTACCTGCAGCGAAGGGAAACAGCCAAGACGGAAAAAAAAAAAAAAAAAAAAAAAAAAAAAAAAAAAAAAAAAGAGTCACTGCAGGGCATTGAATGTAAAAGCAATAAATACTTCAGCTCCAGATTTATCACAATCTACCATCAATATATAAGAAAGTCTTCAGAATTACAAGGCCAATTGATGATTACAAACATGCAAAATGTTTTATTAGGCTGGAATACCGAAGTGAAAATGAATCACAGAGAGATGATTCCAAGATAGAAGCTGTAGAAAGTGCGGTCCCAGCTGTCAGGCCAGGATTAACTAGGCTGGAGGTATGATCTCATATTCCCTTGTGTGAGATTTTAAAGACAAATTATGCTGAAAACCACATCACTGAGTTATATCAAGAGTCAACTCAAGCAGTTCAAGAACTGCAGTTCAAGAGATTCTGTTAGATTAGGTTACATTTCCTGGAACAAATAGCAGACCTTCAAGAAATAAACTTTGCATCAGAGAAAAAGTATTTTAGAATGCTAAAATAGTATTGGCTCTTTTCTCCAGTCCTTTTTGTGGCATTGCATAATGAGAAACATAAACCTAAACCTGGACTTACTTGTAGCTGTTGAACTTCTGTTGAGAAATGGAGTGGATCTAATGCCTATAGTACTGAATCAGAGCATGAGCAACGGGAGCCTCTTATCTATTTTGAAAAAAAAAGAGTGGAAAGGAGGAACTCAAAGTCATCAAAGAATGTAAAGTCCTGCAGCAAAGCTCATTAGCTACACAAAAGTAGCATAGAGATAGAGAACAATCCGACAACTTACAGTTAGATTGGCTGCTTGTGGGGAAAAAAAAAGTATCCTAAATGATGTGAAACGTTAATACTGAAGAATGGCCAAAAAGGCTGTCAAAGTGCCAGTGTAAAAGCTCCTCAAGGATATGGTCAGTATTACGCGAGTGATAATAGAATGCAGGGAGCAAAGGGTATTTAGCTAGTTACATATTCAGGAAACAAGTCACGGGTCATAAGCATAAACAGTCATGCTAAAGTGGAGTAATATTTGTCCTGCTTGACAGTGAACAGAAGGAGCATGTGTTCGATGTATTTGCAAGGAGTGAAACATCTACCTGATCCTCAAAGTCTTTCTAGGAAATGGTTGTTCAAGTGAATGTTATATTTGGCACTTGAGAACAAAAGCATGTGGCACACCAACGGAGTAACACAGGGAATAATGAAGTTATCACACCTAATGTCAGTGCTCTGGGAAATTAGGGAAAAGTTGTGGGTTATCTGGAAAAAAAAATGCATAAACATTAATAATTTAATGGGGGAAAGTAACAACATGCTGAGAGCAAGGAGTTAAAGTGCTGAGAGAGATAAATAGAAAATAGATCATCTATTAAAATGTAGGCATAAGAATGACTAAAGAATTCTTAATTATCAAGGAAATAGTAAATATGTAAGCAATGAAAGATGAAGGTTAACTACAGTGCTGTTTAATCTCATATTTTAGAATATTTTTACCGTGTGCTGGTGGACTGTGGGAAAATAGAGTAATGTTTGATAGGCTTCAATGTCTATGCAATCTACTTGCAATTCTGAAACTCAAGAACCCAAAGTGCCAGGGCTTCAGGTGGAATCGGAAGCCTTTCATGAGCAATGAGATGTCTCTCTATGTTTATAACACCCTGTGGAGGAAGTCTCAAGGGTAGTCGGAGAAATGCTGCATGAAGATTGCCCTGTCTTCAGGTTCAAAAATGGTTCACAAGTTCCAAATACTTGAAAATTGCCCGTAGTCTGGTAAAGGCATGTCTAGAAAAGCTTTTGTACTGTTCTCATGGGAAAGTGTCACGCTGAAGATTCTTCTAGAGGATAGATAAAAGTCAGAAGTCACCAAGTTCCCCATGGAATGCATGTGAAATAAAATAATACCTTGCATGTATGTGTACAATACAGAGAATCAAACAAACAAACAACAAACATTTTTCCTGTAGATATCCTGTCCCTCAAGTGACCAAGTGCTCTTGCCATGATCACAGAAATGATTTAATGCATGGCAAGACAAGTTGTTGCATGTCGGGCAGGCTGTTCACTTGTGACCCCAAAGCAGCACAGCCCCACCCGAGGATGGCACGCTTACCCTGGCATGAATCAGGACTACATTTGTTCCCCTTTCAGATATGAGCTTCTCGACATGCTGCCTTCCACATGCTTGGCTTGCTAATCTCTGGGCAGCTGTGAGGGTGCAATTCACTCTGGGTTTTCCTCACTCTTTATGGGTCTCCTGCTTCAGCTTGGCGCTGGGAGCAGGTGGCCAAGAGCGAGGAGACTGGATGGGGACCAGGGCCCTCCTCCCTCAGCAGCAGCCAGCTGCTGATTCTGCTCAAGTCCCAACAGGAACCCGCTGTCCCTTTAACTTTAAATGGAAATTCAATGTCCTTTATCTGTGATCACAGCGCTGCTCATCCCCAGGGGTTGTGAGCAGAAGAGCACACCCATCAGTACCCACCACTTCATTCACCACCCCTGGGCTCACATGCATCCCTCCACAACCAAATATCTGAAATATCTGAGCCGTGAAATATGGGATCTCCCTAGTAACGTGCCATAGCTTAATGGTGTGCTCGTCTACAGGGAAGAATTCAGGGATTACGTGGAGAATGCTTGAAAATATTTCACTGGTCAGCAGAAATATGCAGTCAAGCATAACCTAGACATACCTGATTTATTCATGTGACTGGTACCCTACTGTATCAGCTGTGCTGGCCAGTACTCCAGCTTGAAAATTAGTATTGGGAATAGACACCAGCTTGGCGGAAGCAAAAGTTGCAAATTAAAATTGGGGAAAATGTTGGCAGGAAAATGTTGGCATCTTGTGCTACTCGGGAGGATGAGGATGAGCTGCAGCCCCTCACCAACACATCGCTTCGTGCCCTGGTCACAGGCTGTGTCACTAACCTCAGCCCCTGCGGAGCCTTAAGCAAGGGCAGCCTCACCCCAGGACGGCACCGCGCTGACCCAGCAAGGGAAGAGGGGGGCAAAGCCCCCACAGCGCGCGGGCCGGGGCCCTGCTCACCGCGGCCCTGAGCGGCGGGGGCCCGGGCGGCTCCCGACAGCTCCTGGCGCCGGGCCGGGCGCCGCGGCAGCGCCGCTCGCCCGC